GACAAAGGTGAAGTAATTTAATGAAATGTGTAAAGACCTGGAGTTAGAAAACACCAAAGGAAAAAATACACTCAGCATTACTTAAGTAGAAAGAACGGAAGAAAAAATTCAAGCCTCCACTTGAAATACTGAAGGATTCTATGGGAGTTCTGGTGTGGCACTGTAGGATAAGCACTGGACCACAAGGTTGGTTTGAATCGCCAGGCTGGGGTTCAAATTCACCAGCTGCTCCTCGAATACCCTGTACAAAGGGCAAAATATTGAATGATACCGAAAGCATCAAAAGAAGCTGAAAGGAATACAAGTCACTGTACCAAAAATAAATGTTCAGTGTTCAACCATTTCAAGAGGTAGCATATGATCAAGAACTGATGGTACTTCAGAGAAGAAAGTCCAAATGACACTGAAGGCATTGGTGAAAAGTAAGATCCCAAGAATCAGAGTCCCGGTGTGTCGCTGTGGGTTAATGCGCTGGACTACAAAGTCTGTTTGAACCACAAGATTGGTGGTTCAAGCTCACCAGCTGCTCCTCAGAAACCCTATACAGGGTTGCTATGGGTTGGACAGCACTTGTAACAACCAACAACAAGAATTGACAGATAACAAATTGAAATCTTTCAAAAAACAGATGGAGCCGTAGAATCACTCGCTCATCTGTGCCAAGAAATTTAGAAGACAGCTACCTGGCCAACTGATTGGAAGAGATTCATATTTGTACCCATTCCAAAGAGAGATGACCCAACTGAACATGGAAATCACCGACAAATATCATCAATATCACATGCAAGTAAAATGTTGCTAAAGATAACTAAAAAAAGGGCTTCAACAGAAGACACTGATAGGGAACTGTCAGCAATTCAAACCAGATTAAGAAGAAGTTGTGGTACAAGAGGTATCATTGCTAATGTTGGATAAATATTAGCTGAAAGCAGAGAATACCAGAAAAAAATGCTTACTTGTATTTCAGTGAGTATGCAAAAGCTTTTTTTTTAAAAAAAAAAAAAACGCTTTTATTGTGAATTGAGTGATAGTTTACATGGGAAAACATCGGTTTTGCAATCATCCCATCGTATTTTGTTTCCTAGCAATGCTTATAATCGCCTCCATATGCAAAGGCTTTTGACTATGTGGATAACATATGCTATGGAATGGATATTCCAGAACACTTAACTGTGCTCATAAAGAACCTGTACATAGACCAAGAGGCAGTCACTCAGACAGAATAAGGGAACACTGAGTGGTTTAAAATCAGGAAAGGTGTGCGCCAGAGCTGTATCCTTTCACCCTACTTATTCAATCTGTATGCTGAGCAAATAATCCAAGAAAGTGGATTATATGAAGAATGAGGCATCAGGATTAGAGGAAGACTTTTTAATAACCTATGATATGCAGATGATATAATCTTGCTTGCTGAAAGAGAAGAGGACTTAAATTATACACTGAAGAAGATTAAAGAGCACAGCCTTCAATATGGATTGCACAGTGTTTCACTCTGCTGTGCACAGGGTCACTCTGAGTCAGAAACCAGTTTGAGGGCACCTAACAACATCAGCAAGGAACCTTGTGTGACACTGTAGGATAAGCACCACACTGCAAGATCAGGGATTCAAACCCACCAGACCACTCTTTGGAAATCCAATACCAGGTCTCTATGAGTAGGAACCAACTCTATGGCACTTAACAACAACAAAAGAGACTTGTGGTTCTGTGGGGTAAACACTAGATTGCTAACCACAAGGTTGGCAGCTGAAAACCACCAGCTGTTCCATAGGAGAAAGGTGAGGTCATCTGCTCCCGTAAGCATTTCTCGTCTTGGAAACCCTAGAAATAGGTTATTATGAGTTGGAAGGGGTCCTGTTATGGCCATGCAGGATCAGCACTGGACTGCTAACCACAAGGTTGGTGGTTCAAACACACCAGCCACTGCTTGGAAACCCTAAACAGAGTGTCTGCGAGTGAGACCCAACTCCATGGCGCTTAACAACAAGAGTTGGAAAGATAAACACTGGATTGATAACCTCAAGGTTGGTGATTCAAACCTACCAGCCACTCCTTGGAAACTCTATACAGGGTTGTTATGAGTTGGAATCAATTCGACAACACCTAACAACAACTAATAATCTGATTAATATCCAATGGTATAGATGTGCCATAAGGTTATCATGCACCCCACTATTTCATTTTACTCCTGGCTTTCTACTACTATGAATGATGATGTAATAAATATCATGTTGCAGGGAGAAAGAGGAACTGACTCCCCCACAAAGACAATTCCAGGCTCAGATGATTTCACTGGTGAAAACTTGAAAGCATGTAAGGAAAAAATAATCAAATACAAACTTTTCCTGAAAACAGAGGAGGAATGACCACGAAAGCCTGCCAACAATCCTCTCCATGCACAAATTAAAAAAAAAAAATACTAAGACTGATTTGTTGGTAAGTGCCGTCGAGTTGGTTCTGACCCACAGCGACCCAGTACAGGGTTTCTGAGGAGCAGCTGGTGAGCTTGAACCGCTGACCTTGCAGTCCACTCTGACTTTGCAGTCCAGCACATTAACCCACAGCGCCACACCAGGAATGACCACCAAAGCCTGCCAAGGATCCTCTCCATGCACAAATTTAAAAAAAAAATAATAACACTGATTTAATGGTCTTTTATTTTGAAATAAAAAAATACTCTAGGTTTCAGAAAGAAAACTACACGTTCTAACTAAAACTTACAAAGAATATAAATTGTTTCTTAAACACAGCACCTGATGACATACACACTATAGAAGGCTATCACCTACTGGACATTTCCCGTGTGCCCACACCTGGCCAGCGACCTCATATTCAGTTCTCGCTTCAGTCCTCATAGACCACCATTCAGGGGGATGGACACTTTCAACATGTCTGACGGCTGGCTTACTTCCCCACCAAGAAACCCAGTTAGCCCCACATTCTCCAGGAACGGCTCTAGATATTAAACCCACTCTTCAAAGTACTGTCAGCTGAAACATGCTAAATCTTTTTTCTGAAAACGTTCCTATATGTGTTCTAGAAATCTCTCCTTCCTGAAGGCACCCTGTGAACAGTCCAATCCCTCCTTGGGGCTGTACTGCTCCCAAAACAGCAATAACTCCAACAGCCCCACAAGTCTGAAGCAACTTGTCCAGAGCACAGCTCCACACTATTTTTCCTAACTCTTTTATCTCTTCACCAAGAGGCAGGCCCTTCTGCTATCTAAAAGGACATCTTCCCCTGAACCATTCAGTGAGACCCTGATAAGGATCCCAGGCACTCTCCCCATCCCCACCGGAGGCGCACAGGCAGTGCCCTCTGCTGCTCTAAGCAAGTCCTTTATTATCAGCTACTTGGGGTTTAAGGAGCTCTGGTAGTGTAGTGGCTACGAATTGGGCTGCAAACCTTAAGGTCAGCTGTTCGAAACTACCAGCCGCTTTGCGGGAGAAAGATGAGGTTTTCTGCTTCCGTAAAGATTTAGACACAGGTTCATCAGTACACTGGGCATGGAATTCGGCCATGATTCCTTTAAAGATAAAGACACAGTGGGAAGAAAAGAGAAAGAATGCCAAACATACAGAGGAAGAAGTAATAGAGGAAGAGCAGGGAGCCCAGTAATGTCAGAGTTCTTCATGCCAAGTAGCTCTGGTAGCGTAGTGGTTACGAATCGGGCTGCGAACCTTAAGGACAGCAGTTTGAAACTACCAGCCGCTCCGCGGGAGAGAGATGAGGTGTTCTGCTCCCGTAAAGATTTACAGCCTCGAAAACCCTGTACAGGGTCGCTATGGGTCGGAACCGACTCAATGGCACATAACAACAACAACAATGCTTTGGGCAGTGAAGACCAGGGATTTGGCCTCAGTGGACTCAAGATTAAAATCTGCTGCTGCCACCTACTGGTCTAGAGTTGGTTCACAGCTCTCAGCGTCTGCCTCCCATCTCCTCAGAACCCAACTGGGACAGCAGGAAGATGAAGCCATGGTTTCTGCTGTTCGTTCATGTCTGTCTGTCTCCTTGGGTCTCCTCAGAATGCCCACGCTACTGGGACGTCAGGAGGATGAAGCTACGCTCTTTGACATGATTAAACTCTTCTATACTTGTTTTCTGATCTCAGAAACAATTTCCCATACTAAGAGTTTGAAATCAAGATTTATACTGCAAAACACTGACTCCCCATCAATGTGGAGGAATTACTATATTTATTCAAATTTTTTCTTTAGCTACTAAGAGGTATCCATTCCTTTGATATTAAATATATATATATAATTAAAAGACAACCAACTCTCGACTCTGTCCTCTTATACTGAAAAGTTTAACAGCTATAATGATGACAACATTCATTTTGATGGAGTTCCCCACTCACAGCCAGTTTGACTCTTTAGTATGCTGTGTGTAAGAAGCAGACACACCCCAATTTTAAGAGACTGCCCTGAAGGAAAGTCACAACTGCCCGCCAGACGGGTAAGCAAGAGCCACCATTCCTCTTCCCACGACCATCAATTAATCACTCCTAGAGAATCAGTGTTCTCCATCCTTACCTGGAAGTTATTTCTCAATGTAGGATCAGCACTGAACTACGAACCACAAGATTGGCGGTTCAAACCCACCAGCTGCTCCTTGGAACAGGGGCAGCACTTAACAACAAGTATAGTGCTAGCTTCCCAGCGGAATTACTTTTAACCACCAGGCCCTGTAATATAGTTAGACTAAAGCTTCATTTATAAAAACCCCACAAACAAAATTTTCAGGAACACAGAGGCTGTTTAAAGTGAGGCAGACAGTTTACATTTGTGTGTGTGTGTGTGACCATTCATCATTGATAGTACTATAAACTTGGACAGAAGTCAAGTCCAGTATGGCAAATAGAACATTAGCCCCAAATCCCCATTTCCCAAAGGAATCTGGTCGTATCTTGTTATCAGGATGTGAACACCACTTTCCCCTGGAGATGAATCTAACACCCAGTGTCATGCCCTCCGCCTCCTCCTCCGGCTGCCTACCTTCCAAAGTGCTGCTTCATCTGCTTACATGCATAGTAGTTTCCATCTTTCAGGCTCTGCATCTTCACAACCTCGGAGAACGTTCCCTCTCCTATCTTGCCAATTGTTTTATAGTCTAGAAATAGCAATAACACATAGTAAAATGTTATTTATGAATAGACTTGGTATCACTTCCATAAAACACATTTGCGTCTGTAAGATAATCTAATAACAATACAGGTAGTCCCTGATTTGCGGCATATTAGAGTTATGGCAAACTGCACTCCCAACTGTCTGGGCTCTTTTGTACATACATCTTATCGTTAGTAATAAGGAGCTCTGGTAGCATAGTGGTTACGAATTGGGCTGCTAAGCTCAAAGTCAGCAGTTCGAAACTACCAGCTGTTCTGTGGGAGAAAGATGAGGCTTTCTGCTCCCATACAAATTTATAGCTTTGGAAGTCCTGTACAGGTCACTATGAGTCAGAACCGACTCCACAGCACATAACTACCACCACCGTTAGTAACATACATGGCAGATAGCAGCACACAAGTTTCCTATGTTATAATTCTCAGGTGTTTACTCTGAAACGATGTCCAAAGATGGGATTTGTAAAAGTATTGAAAATTGAAGGTGTAATAATGTAAACTAAAAAAAAAAGATATTGACTTGTGTCAGAACCAATTCATGTTGGAGTTTTCAGAAAAGGAGTCCTATTGTAAATTGGGGAGTACCTTAAGGATTATTTCTCCTATTTTTCATAAAGTTTAGTGTTCCCTTCATTTTAGGAGACAGTGAAGTGTTGGACTATGTGTTGGCAACAAAGTCTCATTTCCTCCAGGTCTGCATGCCTCTTCATCACCTTGTACAGAACGGGAGGAACATGTGGAAATTGCATTGCCCAGAACCTTCGTCAGCCACCCCATCAACCTGAGGAAGCAGAGGAACGTAGAGACCAGAGCTGCAAGGGCAGAGATTCGGTCTTTCGATGTTGTTGGTAAGTGCTGTCGAGTCAGTTCTGACTCACTGCGACCCTGTAGGTTTCCAAGGAGTGGCTGGTGGAATTGAACCACCAACCTTGTGCTTAGCAGTCTAGTACTGATCCTACAGTGCCACACCAGATTCTGACACTCTCCCTGTGATGCTACAGATGGCCCACGTGACTGGTGGCAGTTCCTGGAATTCTTGTATTTCTTGATTTTCTGGAAGGTCTGCTACTACGGTCACCACCCCAGGCTGGAGATGGCTTTGTAAGCCTCTGATTGCCTCTGTTAAATTCTTCCTGCTTTCCATACCTGGAGTGGTTTCTGATACAGAAATGAGCCCCCTGAACAAGGGTGTTGCTGTGTACAAAAACCTAGTGTGGCTCAGTGGAGTCCTGGTGTGGCGCTGCAGGATAACACACTGGACTGCAAGGTCAGTTTGAACCGCAGGGTTGGCAGTTCAAACCCACCAGCCGCTCCTAGGAAACCCTATACAGGGTTGCTATAAGTCAAAAATGACTCAGTGGCACTTAACCACAACAACAAAGTGACTGAGTGGGTTGATTACAACTGACTGCCGTTAGCAAGGTAGTCCAAGAAAAAGAAAAGGTCGGGCAAGAATTGCTACTTTCCAAACAGAAATAGAAAGGAATGAGAAATCCAGAGAGCAAATGTCTCACCAAGTCGGAAAAGTTTTTGGAGCACAAATATGAGAAGGATGCTGGTTGTGTAAGTAATAGTGATGCTTAGGACAGGGGAGAGTCCCATAGGGTTTCCTAGGCTGAACTCTCTTGAGAAGCAGATTGCCAGGTTTATGTGCTCCTGCTGAGCCGCTGGTGGGTTCGAACCATGGACCTTATGGTTAGCAGCTGAGTGTGTAGCCATTGCACCACCAGGCTCCTTAATACAAGGATGTTGCTGTTGTTAAGTACCTTCGAGTCTGTTCTGACTCATAATGACCCTGTGTAGGGTTTTGGAGGAAAGGCTGGTGAACTTGAACCTCTGACTTTGCAGTTAAACTAACCTTGTGGTCCACTGCATTATCCCACGGGACCACCCCAGGACTCCAATAGGATGATGCTTTTGTGATTTGTCGGGAAGTGCCGTCCAAGATAAGACTGAGGAAAGTCTCAGCAGAGAGCAGCCTACGGGACAAATGACAGTCTGACAGCAAAGATCCTGTGGAGGTGGCGTGTTCCCGTCACTTGTTTCAGATCCTCAAGACAGTGGCTTCCAAGTGGGGCCAGACAAGCACAAGGGGAAAGGCTACAAGGGGAAAGAGGCAGGCCTGAGAGCCTATCTAGAAAATAACTTGAGTTTGGTGATTAGCACATGGGACTGGCTAGCGACAACTGCCTGTGGACTGCCTCCAAGCCTGAACTACTCAAGTCCCTCCTCTACTTTTGGGCCTTGAAGCTGGTCAGCAAATAGCTGGCTTCGACACCATGTGGCTCACAGGAGTATAGCCACCTAATACTCCTGTGAGTGCCCACTTCGAATTCTGCTTTGAATAAATAAACATACCATGGATACATTTTAAAAATCGTAATAAAGTCCTTATGTGTTACCAAGATATACTGAAGTACTTCCAGGTGACATGACATGATGTTGAAGATTTGCTTTAAAATACTCCTATACAGTCCCACTGGAGTTCCTGGTGTGGTGCTGTGGGTTAATGCACGGGACTGCAAAGTCAGTTTGAACCACAAGGTCGGCAGTTCAAGGTCACCAGCTGCTCCTCAGAAACCCTATACAGGGTCACTATGAGTCAGAACTGACTCAACGGCACATAACAACAAACAAGAACAACATATATTCCCACTAGACTGCCCAGGTTGATTTGAACCTCACGGTGGCAGTTCAAATCCACCAGCCTCTCCTCTGAAACCCTAGGCAGGGTTGCTAAAAGTTGGAGCCAACTCGACAACACTTAACAGCAACAACACTACATTATACTTGCTGAAAGTATTTAATGGGATATTCTTTCTGGAAGGCAATCTGAAAATACGTATTAAATCCTTAAAACCTGCCTATCTTCTTTGACCTGACAATTCTAGTACTAGAATTTATCCTGTAAAAAAACACTTGCTGAAATGTATATGAGAATGTTTGGCATAGCATTATTTAATAAGGAAAACCTGGTAACCCAAATACCCACTAATAAACTTACGCCCAAATCACAAGAAGATTTTTTTAAGTGCCCACCAATGAACAATTAGGTAAATCAACACAAAAAAACTCTGCTAGGTCGCTATATAACAGCAACGAGCATTTTACAAAAGGAAATTATGAAAATAATTCCATAACAAATAACATCTAAAAGAATAAAATACTGAGTAATAAATTTAACGAGGGAAGTAAAAATCATATACAATAAAAAGTATAAAACATTACTGACGGAAATTAAAGAACATCTGCTTACGAATTGGGCTGCGAACTGCAAGGTCAGCAGTTTGAAACTACCAGCTGCTCCACGGGAGAAAGAGGAGGCTTTCTGCTCCCGTAAAGATTTACAGCCTCGGAAACCCTGTTCAGGGTCGCTCTGGGTGGGAGCTGACTGAACGGCACTTAACAACAACAATAAACAGATGGAAAGCCCTTTTGTGCTCATGGATTATAAGACTTAATATTGCTAAAATGTCAACCCAATGTAAAAAGATTTATAGATTCAAAACAATCCCGATCAACATTTCTACCACCCTTATCATAGAAATGGAAAAACCAATCCTCAAATTTAAATGGAAGTACAAGGGATTCTAAGAGCCCAAGTAACCTTGAAAAAGAACAAAATGGGAAGACACACTCCCCAATTTTAAAATGTATTTGAAACTACAGTAATCAGAACCGTCTGGGACTGGTATCAAGATAAGACACATAGATCAATGGACTAGAATTGAGAATTCAGATATAATCTGCGCATCTCTGGGCAGCTGATTTTTGACACAGTGCTAAATCTATTCAATGGGAAAGCCAGTCCTTTTAAAAAGTGGAGCTGGGTCTATTGGAGCTCCTCGTGCAAAGAATGTAGGCAACCCCACACTTCACACTATATATGAACATTAACTCAACAGGGATCAAGGACTGAAATGCAAAAACTAAAGTCATAAAGTTCTTTAGAAAACAAACATAGACATAATTCCTCAAGACCGAGCTGTCAACCTAGATTAGCTGCGATAACAAAAGACAAGAGAGATGAATTGGGCTTCATCAAAATTAAAGCCTTTTGGACAACAAAGAACTCTACAGAATGGGAGAAAATATTTTGGAACCATATATCTGATATGGGCTTAAAATCCAGAATAAATAAAGAACAAACTCAATAATACAAACAAGCCAATCAAAAATTGAGTAAAGGACTTGAATAGGCAATTTCACCAAAGAAGATAAACAAATGGTCAATAAGAACATGAAAAGATACTCAAATTCATTGCTGCTGCTATGTGCCATGGAATTGGTTCTAACCCATACTGACCCTGTATAAGTTTTCCAGGGCAGTCCAGTTCTTATCCTACAGCACCACACCAGGACTCAATTATACACAGGGACCTCACCAGGAACCAAATGGACTACACTTGGGGGAAAGAACTGGGGAAAGCCTCAATATCCTCAGCTAAAACAAGGCCAGTGAAGACTGTGGAACAGGCCATCAATTTTTCATGGCTGAAACTGACAAAATAATAATAATAATAAGACAACTACACAGGAATCAAAATATGACCTTTAACATTTGTTGTTATTGTTAGGTGCCATCGAGTTGGTACCAACTCAGAGTGACCCTATGCAGAACGAAACACTGCCCAGTCCTGAACCAACCTAACCATCATTGCTAAGCTTGAGTCCACTAATGCTGCCACTGTGCCAATCCATCTCGTTGGGGGTGGGGAGGGTCTTCCTCTTTTTTTCCAACCCTCCACTATAATTCATAAGGTTTTCAGTGACTAAATATCAGAAGTAGTTCGTCTCTCCTTCTTCCTAGTCTGTCTTTGTCTAGAAGTTCATCTAAAATCTGTCCACCATGGGTGACCCTGCTGGCATTTAAATACCAGTGGCATAGCTTTCAGAATCACAGCAACTCACAAGCGACAGACTGACGGACAAGTGGTGGACCTTTAACATATCCCACCTGAATTTAGAGGTCATCTGTAGAAGAGAT